GTCGAAAAAAGTCATAAAAGTCATAGTATAGCATGTTGAAAAAAGTCATAAAAAAGTCATAGTATAGAATGTCGAAAAAAGTCATAGTAAAGCATATCGAAAAAAGTCATAAAAAAGTCTTAGTATAGAATGTCGAAAAAAGTCATAAAAGTCATAGCATGTTGAAAAAAGTCATAGTATAGAATGTCGAAAAAAGTCACAGTATAGCATGTTGGAAAAAGTCATAATAAACAGTACATTTTACATGTGATGGGTTAGTGGTATGGATGCTATAAATTTCTTCCTGGCATTTGTCCAAAAACTTGCATTTCCCCATTTACTCGGTAGTTTAACACCCGGGCGTAACGAAACCTTTGCGCGACATCGAGCAGAAGTCGGTCGGGGTTGTCCTTTTTTCAGAGTATGTCAAATCTGATTCCATAAATAAACACAGAATCACACTATTCACCTACACAATGAAAACATTCATGCAAACCTATTATAAAGCCTTTGGAAAATATACATAACGACAACGAGCTACAAAATTGAATACATCGGAAAGTGGCATATGCATTTACAAGACTTTCCACTACTTTTTACTCCATAGCCTTTATCGTCGCTAAATAAATGTATCAACATTTAATACTTTTTAAGATCCTGATATGACAAGCAGTTGTTTTAGGAAGGCTTTCCTCCTCATTTCAGAACTTTTCACTTTGAGTCTGGACTATGAGACTTCAATGAGATGCTGGGATGGTTTAACTGCAGCCCCCTGCATATGAATGGCTTTCAAGGAAAAATCTGATTAGCCTCTTCATCCCCAGGGTGCTTCAGGCTATGTGGTGGTTTAATTAAATGTTTGAATGTATTGAAGCTCTGAGGGGGCAAAAGCCACATGATCCTGCTTCACCTGAAGAGCCTGAAAGATGCACAGAAGAAAGGACTTCCTCTACATTCCTCCCTCTTTAACGGGTAAAAAAAAGGCTTCTATGTCCATATAACCAGTCTATTATCTAAGCACTCACACACAGAGGATACTACTAATACTATTACACATGATTCCACAGTTGACGGCAACAAACCAATGAGATCGTAGCACCGTTTTGATTGGAATAAAATGTTGCTATCATTGAAATATTTGCATAGTGCTGTGTAGTATAAAATAGAAACTTCAAACATGTTGTTGTAAATCCGGTGCAGAGACATTCATGTACCTTTGGGTAGAGACGTACAGTCAGCTCTCATCAGGAATCAGTCTCATCCCGTTTCCTCTTCCCTGAGGAGCCTTCTTTAGAGCGACTCCACCACTGCAAGTCAAACTCCTCTCTGATGTGACAAGGCTGCAAGGTGAAGCAGATGAGAGGGTTCATTTTCTAGCTTTAGGATAAAGCACACACACAACTAGGTTGCAATATAAAACATGTTCATTCTGAATGTGCTTTATCAAAGGGCTTCTTTGGCTCGTCTGACAGACGCTTTTGTAACTACAGAACAGAAAATGTATAATTAATGCCTTTTTTGACAGTTATTAATGGGAGAGGGGGAAAAAGTAACAGACTGTAGAACAGTATGCAGCAATCATGGCAATTTTGTCCTGTTATCATTAATACTTGCTCAAAGTCCACTTATGTGTTTGCTATAAGTAGAAGCTTCTACTGTCTACTATTTATAGATGTGTTTATACATGATACAAAACGTACTTTTGTCTCTGTGAATTAAGGCCTTAACACTCCGTGGACATTACGAATTAATGACAAATGCCGAATACTCCCCGGCAATGCGAATTTGCACTTTTTCGACAAAAAGTTTGAATAGTTTTACAGGTAGAGGAACAACTACCAGGATCCTAGTGACAGCGTCTGTCAGTCTGTCTGAGCTACTGTCAGCGTTTCCTTTTAGCTAAATGCTCGGAGTGAATTTGAGTTTCCTCTAGTAAACATAAGGCAGTGAATATGTCTGGGGCTTTTATTGTGAAAGGTGAGAACAGAAGGATCTGGTCTGCGCTGCCCATGTCGAGGTTGAAATGGCAGTTGCCTCTCAACAATATAATGATGGTCCATTTAGAGTCATATAGACCATAAAGCAGGGCGGGGCTTACTGTGATTGACAGCTCGCTGTCTCTAAGTCGCTTTCGTTCATTGGTTGTAAAAAAAGCCAAAAGATGGTGTGCGAGTCGGTGCTTCTGGTTGTACCCGTCTCGAGGACTTGATCAGCGTTGCAGAGCGAACACTTGAGTGGCTGATGTCCGCGGCCCTCTCTTCTCGCTCCAGCAGGATCCTGGTTCTGGGGATGTCACTCCACGACACACCGAGGCCCGGCTGCACCTCCCCGCCGACACTTCTCGTGACGTGGTTTGTAACCTGCAGGCCCAGACCCCATCATGTTTAGTCTTTGGTTGGATTATCACAACATTTTATCATTGTGTTTTATAGTTTAGTGTAGCTTGTGAGAGATAGTTCAAGCTTTGGAAGAGAAAAGAAAAACAGCAGATTGTCCTACTTTAATCAAAGGGAACCATGAAACAGCCGATCAAATTATCTTTATCCCACTTGAAATAACTCAATGATTTAAGGGGAAGTCTTCTTTGCTGCATGCTAATGTGATTAGTTCATATCTTACATTATTATAACCTCCAGTCACACACCTGCACTAACAAACGGATTGAATGTTCTTGAATCATGTAATTGTCAGCAACCTCTTGTTTTTAATCGTGAGTTGGTCTTCTTAGACTAAAGAAAGTTTACTTTTCATTCCAGGTCTCAAAGCAATAACGAGAGGAAGTGTGAAGTTTGTTCAGAGTTCAGAGGGACTCTGGAGATGCATCTTGCATTCAGAGCAGTCAAGGACTGTGTCGTCCTTACCAGAGCAGCCACATTGAAGTCCTTTGCCATTGTCTTAAGAACTCCTGCCACTTGTATCATCAAGGACATGCCTGCAGGCAGAGGAAGGTTTGTTCATGTACAGAATATACAATGTCTTTCTCCATGCAGTTCAACAGTCAGGCTACAGATATTGTTTTTTGGGGAGTCTTTAATGTTCTTACGGTTGACTCATTTTGTTTTCAGCAATGTTGGCAGCGCAGCTCTGGAGACGGCAATGTCGGTCCGTCCACGGCGTATTAGAGGGACGGCCATGAAGCCTTCATGAATTCTAATTACTTCGTTAATCACTGAAACATCTGCACAGAAATGCACTGCTGGTTTGGTTTTGTCGTGTTTTTCTTGTGTAGCAAAAGGTCTACAGCTGCATGTCGTTGTGCAGAGCTCGGCCGGCTCTTGTTGATCACGTGACAGATTGCTGTATTTGTGGTTTTGTCTTCCCTCCTGCTCCCGGCTTGTCCTGAAACACGGACCGGGGTCTCATTTGCTCACGCTTTGTAGGCGTGACTTTATTTGCCGTGTCATCACCATTCGTATCTTTACAACCAATATGTTTATTGTTAAATTGTTTACTCGAACGTTCTAGCTTCTTATTTCTGCTCTCTACGTGCTCCAGATGGATGCATTCAACTTTAAAATGTAAACTTTTCTTTTTAAGTGTTGAGAAAGTCAATGAGTAATCATGTTGAATAATATAATGTAATATATATAATCAAGCAGCCCTAACAAGCAGCCACATATACTGAAAGGATTCCTTTTCTATTTCCTGACATGACCACTTCATTTATGATTCACTACAAGATGATGGAATTAACTGAGCTGATTGTCTTGGTCTTTAACCTCCTATCTGTAGAAACAGTCTTTTGTTTGGTCTGGTTTTCTATTGGAGCAGACCTGCTCCTGCTGTGTGGAGAACAAGAAAGTGCTTCAAGGAAAATGAACGATATCTGTCTTCTAACAAACGTCTCAGAGCTCAAGCTGAGGTTGCTCATGCGTTCATTCAATCATAGTTTAATCACACTTGAAACTTGTTCTACATAAACCAGTGGCGTTTGCTTAAAGTGGCTGTAAGATTTAACAAAACACCCCATGAATCAGCAAATCGGCTATTTTTGATTGTTTTCAGATACGGTTTAACTACGTTTTTTGTCTTTTCACAGGTGTTCATTCAGGTTTATTTCAGATTTGAACCCTTTGAACCCAGCAGTATTGAGTGATTGTTTAATTAGATCACAGTTTAGGATCTTTCTATAAACCAATATTTTGCAATTAAGTTCATTTGGATTAACAACTTGAATCATTTCGACTCTCAAAATGTGAGAATTAAGTTGAAGCAGCTCCAAGGTTCATGAAAACGGCTCTTTACTCTCAATGTGACGGTTCAGGGTTTTAATGTGACGAGCCGAACTTTTCAGTGTTACTGTCACACTTTCTCACGACTGGAACTTACTTGTATGTCACACTTGCAAAAGATGTATGGGGACCGTGTTGTGATATGTATTATATATTTGTTAGAGCTTACAGCCTCAGGTGGGATGATGCAGAAGAAGATATCACCTTCATTTTGTTTGCCTCCCAGTAGAGGAGCGATAACAGCTGACACCGAGTCCACGATCACCGCCTTGACAGAGCCGCCGCCAACACACGCCTAATACCAAATGTGACAAAATTACATTACTGAGACTTTGATCCGTCTTCTCTCATATGTTCCCTGGGTACAACAGGACTGTTGGTGTATTCTAAGCAAAAAGGGAGGGGGGGGGGGAGTAACCGCAAACAAACCTGCTGAAGTCTGCCACCACGAAGACCGTACAGACAGTCGAGTAGAGAGAAGACGTTGAACAAACGGAAGATGTGGATCCTCTGAAGAGCCGCCATCTGCGAGATGACATTGTGTTTGACGTTGTGTTTCACGTTGTGTTGTATAACGTAATATTTAGGTCAAAGCTCAACCCTCCATCAGCTCACCTGCTCTTCTGTGTTACTGGTTTCAGCTTGCAGCATCTGAAGCAAGCGGCTGGCAGTCAGCCCTCCTGTCGTATCGATAAATATAACGCTCTGTTTGAGCTGGTAGGAAATGTGCACTGCCACGCCGAAGCACACCTAGAAGACAAGACGGCCGCGCAGGGAATAGTTTATGATAGCGTAGATAACTTGTGTTAGCTAAACTCCGAGAAGAATTGTTTCAGCAGAGTACAACTTGTTATTCTATAGGCGAGGAGGGAATTTCAAAGAAAAAAGAGGGAATTTATGAGGCGGAAATGATCAGTGATGGAGAGGGAAGGCAGGAAAAGCTCACCTGAGATTTGCCACTTCCCGGGCCTCCAGACAGCTCCGTTATCTCTCCAGTATACAAGCCGGAATCCAGCAGCTTATCTAAGCTGCAACAAAACAAGGTGCAATTTATTACTCACAACTGCCATCCCATGTAATAAACAATTAAGTCCACGGCCGACCGCGGAGCCAACAACAAGCTGCAGTTGGGTGAGGATAATAAAAACAGAGCATGCATCAGGCTCCGGAATATTCTTCAGGTGTTCGGCCAATTCCTAATTTCACTGCTGCTTATCAAGCACTGGCTGCTCCCTTCAAATTTAATCGATCAAAAATACTTGGCTTTTCTTTCATTTGTGTGTGTGTGTGTGTGTGGTTTGTTCTAGTCTAATGGGTGTGTCTACTGAAGATATTTGGCACTAATTTACATACAGTTCCAACAAAGAATAAAGTGAAAAACAATACATTGCTAAATGTAAAGTCTATACTTGTTTTAATATGCATGTACTGTTGTAATCAGGGGGACAACATAAGCAGAAGGGCCATTATTGTGTTTGTTTGTAATGTGATTTGATCCTCTTTATATGCTCTCTTTAACACCACTCTGCTCAAAGAATTCCCATTTCACCACCCACAGTCTGCACCTCTTCCTTTAGAACAGCAGCATTGGACGTGTGCAGATGGGTACGCTCTGTATTCACAGGACTCGTTGTGGGTTCTTTGGGGCTGCCGAGGTAAATCTTCCCTGAGCTCCACCTTCACACACCCCTGACCTCCTCTTCTTTTTATGAGTTCACACAGCAAGAAATTTACGCAACGAATCACTGGAGGTCCGTTCATTTCCTACCGAGCTGATACAGAGGTTTAAAGAGGGCCACGGTGGCACAAGTTTCACAATCAGCCGTTAACGGCCAATAGCATTGCTGTGCTACCTTAACCTCCCTTTACCGATCTCATTTCATTTAGTGAACAATAGTTCTGCTGAGCAAGTGCACAGTGGGTGTCAGGTTTCTTTAGAGCGAACGAGGAATTTCAAGAGCTCCGATTTCTTTTCCTGTTAAAAGTTTTTTTTGGGGAGTTTTTACTTTTCCAATGCGAGGGTGCGAGGTGAGAGCTGGACAGACTGGAAAGCCCTTTGAGGCCAATTTGTGATTTGCCATATCGGGCTATATTTTCATTCTAAATACTTTATTCGGTGGTCTTTATGAAGGCCAATCAGAAGAACCGATCAGATGACACAAAACACACGAGACAGTTTCTCTATTCGCTGCTAACATGGCTTCACTGGAGTTGTGTCTCTCAGACTGTAGCGCCGCCATTGTGCCTCGCGGTTATGTACGGACACGGTATTTAGATCAGTCACTGTGTTATGTTTAATCACGCAAGCATCCAACACCCGAGGTGCAACAACAACATTGGTCCATTTCCCCAATGCAACACATAACTCGCACAGTTACAGGCTACCGCTCCGTTAGCCGACCGCATACAGCGGAAAAAAACCCAGAGGCACTCAGCAAAACAAAAGCAGCGTGCACGATTCACTCTCTTTGAAAACAAGTACAAAACAGAATGTGTTCTGTCTGAGAGCCGAGTGGAAGCAATCCCTAAATCATGCTCTCAATTTTGAATTTAGCACCTCATTCAAACATTCAGGAGGAAGTTTGGCAGAAGGTTGTGACCTCATGATGACATCAGCAGGGTGTCTATATATACACATTTATACAAGACCCTTGTGTAATTGTCTACCAGCTAATAAATGGAGCAGGGTAGAAACAACAACCAGGACCAAGCCAGACAGCTGAATTACCCCGTAATAGCCGGCTCACTCCTTTCGCAGGAGGTCGCCCAAAACTGCTCAGAGTCTGAACTGAGGAAGGAGCTCCTCAAAGAACTGGAGGAGGCTAGAGAGCAGGTGGCTCAGCCAGCTCGAAGAAGAGTACAAGGACAAGATCTGGGAGCAGGAGAAGGAGGCTCTTGAAAATGAGGTGGAGGAGCTGAAAGCTAAGCTGCAAAGTGAAACCCTCAGCGGCTGTCAGGAGGAGAAGGTGACGCAGCTTACCACCGAACTGGAGAGACAGGTGATGGAATCAGACTCTCTCCAGAAACAAGTGGAGACGAATGAGCTCCTACAGGAGAAAAACAGCACCCTGCACGAAGAAGTGAGGGAGCTCAAAGCGGCTCACGCAATCAGTCAAGAAAAGTTCTCAGCAGAGATCCAGGTTGAGAAAGATACAAGTGAAGCTCTCCAACAAGAACTTGAGAAGCTGAAACTTTCAAATACAATCAATCTGTGGAATGAAACTGAGCTCGAGGCTGAAAGAGAAAAGAGCGACATCCTTCAGAAACAGCTTGAGAAAGAGAACCAGTCCAAAGCTGAAAAGACCAAAGAAGACCTGGAGGCCATGAAGCAGCTGATGGCTGAGAAGAAAAGTCTGGAGGAGGAGATCAGGACCCTGAAGGACCACGCTTCTGAGAAAGAGAAGACGTATTTGAAAGACCTGAAAGAAAAACAGGACTCAACCAACCAGGAGCAGGTCAGTAAGCTCCAGGCTGAGGAGGTCTGTCAGGGCAAGGGCATAGAAGAGGAGCAAGACGAGACCAGGGAGCAGCAGAAGAAGGCTCTCATTGATCCACCAAACCCTGAGGTGCTGACACACTCTGAGGGGAAGAAAAACAAGAACGTTCCATGGGTTCGAGTAAGAATCCTGCAATGTAATGTAATATAATGTAATGTAATATCAAATGATAAAATCTATATTTAATATAATATAATAAAATCTACATTTAATACAGTAATATTAAAATGTTTGCCTGTTTAGTTGTACTTTTTTCCGTACAGTTGAGTTGATGACACAAAGCATTCCACTTGTGTTGGTCTGTTTTTAAAGAATCTGCTATTTTGTTTATTTATTAATTTTTTCTATCAGCTTACAAGTTCCTCTACTTTTAAACAACGAGAGGTGAAATCGTGAAAAGAAACCAGCACCTCTAAAGCAACAGCAGTGTTGTGTGTGTGTGTGTGTGTGTTTTCGATGTTATGAAGGCGGCTCTATTTTAACCTGGCTATATTGCCATGGCAACTTGCTGCTGCAGCCCTAACAAGAGGACTACGGAGCCAGATTTGGGATTAGCGAGGTAACTTCAGGGTGAACCCTGGTCTTACAGTCTTACGCTGGTGGTTCACTTCTTAGCGGGGTGGATTGCTAAAATGGAAATTAAAGCTGCACACCTAACCTGTGGAGCAGTATCAAATATAATACAGAGCGTTGGATCCACAATAAAAGTGTATTATTATTATTATTACTGTAGTAATAGGGAGATGTGCAGAACGTGGTTTTATATGAGAACATCTGGTGCCAAAATGCAGCACTGAATACAGGGAAGCCACATTTGGGGAGTTTAGGGATATGATAAAGCCCCAAAAATGCAATTCATTTGAGAGAAAAATAATAATAATAATATTTCCTTCAGCTTCAACAGGGCCTTCACGGCCCGACATTGTCTCCGTACAAGAGCCATTGTGTTTTGATGTTTATATTGTTTTAAGTACCAAACCTCTATGCTTTGTGTGTTGACCCAAATATGTCCAAACACGGAATACCAAACAACTGCTGCATCAGCAACACACAGTCAAACTCTACATTATTTTATACTGATTTAAGTTGCAATCTAGTTAGTAGTTAGTGGAATTCAGTATTATTATTATTATATATTAGAAAAATACACATAAAACACGGATGCTTTAGAGAATTGAAGATGTATTTCACCAAACTGCAGGTATTTCCATCAGCACCAGCTGTAAAAACAAGGTGTGTTGCTGTTGCATTTCTATTCGATCATCACCAAGATAACGTTTTCCGTCGTACCGCTTTACCCATCTGTTCTTTCAGCACTGGAATGTTTTGATTGGTCTGTGTTGACGTTCAGCGATCTGTGTAGTTTGTGGAATCTCATCATTTCCGCCTGCTCGTGTGGTGACGGATGTCACAGCGGTGCAGTTGAATCTACATAGACAAGGTCCCTCAGCTTGAAGGTTAAGCCTCGCTGGTTAAGAGCGGCTCTCATCACCCACAGCGTGATCGTGAAGAGGAGAATTGGTGGCGACGGACATGCTGCCATTATTCCTGCCTCCTCCGACGATGGAGCGAAGAGAGTTTCAGCAGGTTGTGTTCTTGTAAGAGCTGCGAAGGATGAAAGCGATTTTCCTTGAAGAGGCACAGATTCTGAGGCTGCACTCAGCAGGGATGCACCGGTACCGGTACTGACTCGATCGGTTGGATCGGGGCAACAGGGCCAATCAGCTCAATTCTATGTTCATAAAATGATATACATTATAAACTGGAATTTTAATCCCTCTTTATATTTTGACCAATTTGTTAATGCAGCAAAAAGGTTTACACTGGAATTGAGTTTTTTTTACCAAGTAGCTGGTGTACAAATGTATTACTTAAAAAAAATAAATCATACCTATCTATTTATTTATTACATTCGGTTTTACAAAGTCGGGAATATCTAAGTCAAGCCTGATGTTGCCATAAAATATTGATCCCAGTCTCTTCTACACAGTGAGGCAAACACAAGCAGCAACCTCCAGACAAGTGAAGTCAAAGCTTCATGTGTTAAAGCTGCATTCTCTCTAGTGTCCACCAGGGGGCGACTCCTCTGGTTGTATAGAAGTCTATGAGAAAATGACTCTACTTCTCTCTTGATTTATTACCTCAGTAAACATTGTAAACATGAGTTTATGGTCTCAATCTCTAGTTTCAAGTCTTCTTCAATACAGCATGATGTTCATTTAGTACATTATGGTCCATTTAGAGTCAAACAGACCATAAAGCAGGGGATGCTTTAGGGCGGGGCTATATGGTGATTGACAGGTATCTACAGAGCAGTATACAGCGTCTCTATCTCACTCCTTTGCATTCCAAAAATGGTCACATACGGTCACTGGTTGCAAAAAACAAGATGGCGACGGCCAAATCGGCAAACTCAAGGCTTCAAAACAGTAAACCATAAACCAATAGGTGACATCACGATGACTACGTTCACTTCGTATATACAGTCTATGGGCATTCCGTCAAACACTGGTATTGGATCGGTCCTCATTATCGGCTGATACCCAAAGCCCAAGGTATCCGTGTATCAGGACTAAGAAGCTGGATCGGTGCATCCCTACTCATCAGTGACATCAGAGTACTGTGCCGTCTTTGGACCTAAAGGTCTTTATCTTAGCGTATGACTGGAGAGGAAGCAATGAAGAGGCTCGAATTCTGTTGTTAAAATGATAACTATCTATAGAACGATCCTCCCCGTGATACCTTGAATTCTTGAAGAAAACTGGTTTACGAGGAATCAAAAAATGTAGAAAAGTCAAAGTAAATGTTGAGACCGCGTTTAACAACAGCAAAACTACATCAAGACATCCGTTTACAAACTCACACATCTCGTCAAGCATAATCCAAGTCTCATTTATCAAGTCGCACGCTCTCTACTTCCTGAACACGTGGATCTGTTGCTAAAACCATACAATCTAAATCACTTTGGACTAATAACACATCTGTGCAAGACTGGTTAAGCAGAAGTGTTTTAAATAGTGAGGTTTTCTTCAAGGATTCAAGGTCACAGGGTGAGTAATTGGCATACAAATGGTGATAATTCATTCTAGTCTAGTTTTGTTGTGACACTTTGTTATCCCTGTGGACAGACATTTCCTTCCTGCTGCCATACCCAGAAATCTGGATAATAATTGAAACAAACAATGGAACTAAACAGCGTCACACTGGTGTCTTTTGCAGCTTCCTTGTAAAGGTGGCTGTGGGCTCATGAGCATTTCTAATGACAAGGGTTTGACAGAAGACATTATTTGCTCTTTTTAAATAAGGTTTCAAGTGACTGAGGCTGAATCTTATCACTTGATCGCACCCAAACATTTCTACAAGCAGCATTATAATATCAATGTGTCATTACACCATCAGGTGTTGACAAAAATATTACGTGGGCTCCACAAGCTGATGACATCAATAAAGCCATTATCATAGCTTATCATCCACCCTGTTGCTTTGACAAATCCCCGCAGCAGCAGATCTGATAAGGTTTCTTTCTGTTTGTCTGTGTTTGATTGTCTCTCTGTGGCTGAAAACAAAATGAGCGCCATCTATCATTCGTTATTAAGGATTATACTGCATTTGTTTGTTCGGACTTGGGCTGTGATGGAGGTGTGTGAAATGCAAGTAGCATTAGTGTGCTTCTATGCTGTCAAAGACGTCTTGATGATATTTAAGGAGACAGCTAAATAATGGTTAAACTCTTGTTACCTACCTACTGTGCATTTCAACATAGAGATGTAAGTATGAAGGTTCAACACCACATTTGGTTATTGTTATTATGTTATGTTTGGAAGGTTTTCTTTAAGCTCTTTTGATTTCAAACTGACATTTCTATTCGTTGCTTGAAATAAAACCAAAAACTCTACATCCATCACCTTCTTTTTATTCCTTTCTGGGCTCACGACATTCATACATTGTGCATATATCAAAGAGCCGGGAGAAGAAAAGGGAAACAGACATTCAAATAATATGCCAAAAGGTGTCGAGTAGCCGACGTGACTGAGAAAGCTGAAGAGAAGTCCAAACAGTGTTTATAGCCTTCAGGGCTTCTGGCTTCATCTCATTCAGGCTGCATTCCCTCAGAGAAACGCTGCTCTTATAATGAATATCGTTTGTTTTTTTACATTCGGTTCACTGATTCTGTTGCAGAGACCAGCGAGATCTTCTCTTCCGTCTATGCAGCCGATCAGCTGAGAAACCTATCTTCACACTCAGCATTAGCCGGTAAAGCAGGAAATATCATCCTGCATCAACAGATTACAGAACCTACAGAATGTATTACAGGGCTGATGTATTGGGGGGGCCGAGACCCCTTGATTGACACTTGAGACCCCCCTGAAAGCCTCAATTACTTGGGGTCCCTTAATCATTAAACAATTATCTTTCACTTCGCAATTATCACTAAACTGTCTCTAAAAGCCTACTAACGCTCAGCAGCTTTCATTATTCAAACTGCAAAAACACGTAATCACAAATATGAATAGTGAGTGTGAGAGACGATCTTCAGCTGTGACACAGTTACGTCTGTTTGTGGACCTAAGTGGATGCATTTGATCCAGTGCCTTTCGTGAGAAGCTGGGTTAAAGCAGGACGTCGTCTCTCCTCTTCTTGGACACCAGGGCGGCGACTAGAAGAAGCCGAGCCGAGGTCTACGTATCGGGTTTGAGCGTGTGCATGTGTATTCTGTCACAGGACGTAGTTGTGTGAGTGGCCTTATTGTTAACCATATAATCCTTAGTGAGCATCCTAGTTGCCTTGGCTGGCATCCATTACATCCCGTATATGGAGTCTGTGGAGGACTTCAGCAAAACACTGGAGGCTCCGATTGCCACCAGTTATTTCTCACACTGCTGCACCTCCTACACTTAGTGTATGTGTTTTTATTCTGTCTCTGCGTAAACCACGAGCCCTACTGACTGTAAGTGTGACACCGTGGACAGCAAAGAGCATCATTCACCAGTTCATCTTCTCACCAGTAGAGCGCAGCCAAGACACACTAATCACACATGGCTGATTCACTTTCATGTCACTAATCCACAGCACTAACTCATTTATGAAAAGCACTTAAAGAGGAGCCACAGAGAGCAAAAAAACAAACACCTGTGGTCATTAATTATGCTGTAAGAGTGAGTTTATGTGTAGAAAAGATACCCTGGTATAAATGACGCCATGCTGGCCCATTTCACAGAGCTGACCCGGTCCATGTGTCCCGGCTGAGGAATACTTCTAAAAGTGGAGAATTGATCTGCTCCGCTTTGACTGAATTCAGATAAGTGTGAGGTCAGCACACGTCTCATTGGGACGCTCTGTCTCTCAGCAGGGCTGTGATCCTTCAAGTCATTTCGATTTTAACATGTAACGCCAAAATGTTTTGAAGGACTTGTCAGCGATGTTCTGGTTGTTTTTTTTTGTGGAAAGTAGTCTAGCTCGAAGGCAAGTTACTGCAGCTGATATATATCAGAAGCCACTTTAGGCTGCGTCTACGAGCCAAATGGAACAAGCGAAGAAGTCGCTCTCGCTGCTAAAATGTTGCTCACACGCCAGGTTTAAAACACTCTGCTGTATTTTTAACTGCAGCTGCCACACTCCACGTGCACTTTCTACTTTCACAGTTCAATGCAAATTGCATTTTAACGGCACTGAAAAGACTTTAGTTTGATAAAAATGGATCGATGAAGAGGAATCTGGTTACAAAACATCTTGTGATGCACAATACTATTGATCTGATGCGTTTCCCTGTGACTGTGGACGGTCTGTGCTGGTCTGCAAAGCTGAAGAGCAAAAATGTCAAAATCGATGCACCTGACTTAATGATGAATAAAATGCAGCCGTTGCTCCAACAATGCTGGTTTAAGCACAAATCAAATAGGTGCAACATGTAAATTGTTTTGTTTGCATCGACTATGTCCTGCAATTTTCCAAACACACAAAATACCGCTACTACTACGACTACGCAAATCAAATACTTGAATCTGAAATATCATCAGGTGGCACTGAAGAAGAAGCCACGAAGAATAGCAAAAATAAGCATCACCACAAATTCACTTTTGCCTCTAAACTGAACACTTTTAATTCAATATGTGGAGAACTGTCCTTAGGAATACATATTTGCTTTTGGAGGTGAATCTTCCTTTAAGCTCTTGTGGCACGAAGCCCGCCGTTAAATCCCCGAGACAAAGCAGTGTGCTGTGCTGTGTGTGCAGAATCGTCTTTACCTGGGATTTCCAGTGGAGAGGATGGCTGTCGAGCGCAATAGTTCTTCATATAGATCAGCGCCTGACACGGGGAACGCCGTGTGTTGGGCCAGCAGCACTCGGCGGATGGCAAACAGAGCCTGAAATAGAGAAATGTACAGCACACGAGGGTCACAGCAGGGACGGGGCAATATCGGATACTATCGCAGATAAAAAGACAAGTCACTCACAGTAAGTCGATTGTGGTGAAATTCCATTATCGGGAAAATCAAGAATATTGTCACATGAGTGACAATGATGACAGCGTGACTTTAAAAAAAAGAACAGACTCACAAACCAGTCACCTAACGAATAGTTGTAACTTCAAAGAGAGATGATTTTCTTTCATTGCTTTGTGATCGTAGATTTACGAAGATATACTTCGATTCTTTTGCTGCTTGACTAGACTTCACTGCAGATTTTGGAATGACTTTAACCTAACTAAATAGTACTAAACTATGTTTACATTTAGACTGGATTATGTCCAACAACAAACATCTACTCAGATGGGGGGGGTTGCATTCTGATTATGCATCAATAGAGCCCAAAACAGGCCTCCATGACAGATTGTCAATGTCCATGAGAGCATGTATACAAATCAAAGGACAACATCATTAGTATGGAGTATATTCTGTATGCATTCATACTTGACATGCATCAAACAAACTGATCTCAGATTGTATGCGTGTATTATGCAGCTGAAGGTGCACGGAGCTCGCTGGAGCGTGCGCTGCTACGTCCTGCAAATGAAATAAGAGTTTTTAAGGAGACCCGGCTCCTCAGAAGGTTCTGTGCAACAAACCATGGAGGGCTTCAGGTTATAGCGGGAGATAAGAATGCTACAACTGTTTTAAAAATATCACGCTGCACTCTGCTCACATACTCTGACAAATAGTCTTTTTTTTTTTTTTTTTTATAAATCTGGGCACAAAAAGGATGTATTGCAGGTCTAAATTGAGTGGAGAAGTTTCAATACTCTTGGTAGCGGGTTATTCTGATGAGTCTCTTCCTCTTGGCAGAGCGGGTTTCCTCCTGCCAAGTTCATGTCCAACAGCATGAAATGTATTTTGGGAAAATAAGGCAAATCTGTTGGGTCTCAATTAGTGCGAACACTGTTGCCCCAATTTGGGACGTGGGCTCATAGGATGGATGTGTTTTTAGATAGAAAGCTTGCCTCGAGCAGCTTTAGTTTCAGGCTGCTTTCAGTCCGATGAGCATGTTGGGGAGCAGGTGACCTCGCGTCGACCTCCTAGCCATTGTAATGTGTGTGCACATCAATGGTTCAGATCAACAGCAGGAGTCCGATGGACCAGAGGGAGGCAGGTCATCAGCTCAGGGGATGCCTGCAGGCTGAACAAGCTGGTCAGGGAGTCTGGCTCGGGCCACTAGCATGAACCTGAACCCGCTGCAGGCAATGTAATGATCTCAATGAGGGGGGGGTACTTCCATTTATTCTGCGTTGAGTCATTAGAGGATGTACAGTCACAGAGGAGGGAGGTTTGATAGTCTACATAAAGTATGGATAAAACACCGTGCTATACATTTCAGACTCTTCTAAAGTGGCTCTCAGATGATTTTCCTGCACGTGTTCAGGCTGCACGTACAGACAGAGGATGTGTTGCTCACTGAGAAGCTCTCACTCATCTTTCCACCTCGAAGGCTTGGGTTGACTCCTGTGCCCTGTCCACCCACACAATTATTCACTGATACACTTTTATCTAGAAGGCCCTTCTGGGTCACTTTCCTTAATAATTGCACTCTCATATCTCTGAAAAAGTTTGGAGGAAAACACTATTTATGATCTTAAAAAAAAAGAAAACGTTTTCCGTTATCTATAAGAGGTCAGAACTGAGTTAGGCAGAATTTCTTTCATGATCTTTGCTCTCACTTGGTGGTTCTCTTAAACTAAAGGAGCTGGCCTCTCCTCGTGGGTTCAATCTGATTATGGCCCAGCCAATGAGACTTCTGTTTTACTTTTGCTTTCCTGATAGCTAGAAACTTTTCTATTATTTACCGCTTACTGTACAGGTACAGCTATATTAAAATATACTTATTTTACTTCTAAATAGATGCATTTAACTATTTTTCCAATGCAACTTCTGTTTTATCTCAGAATCACCTTTATTGGCTGAGTATATATATGCACGTACAAAGAATTTGACTTTGCATCTCCCTCAATGTGCTGACACAGAAATAGAACATGGACAAACAAAGGTAAAGAATAGACAGGATTGTTACGTGCATAAGTACTGAAAAAAATAGGTGTAAATATTATATAAATGTGTAAAAAACACCAATGACCAACAGTAAAATAAGAACTAAACGATCTTTATACAGGTCAAGTGATCTGTAAGCTGTAAGCTAACAAACAGTGCAAAGGAATGAATACTGTGTGGATGTACATGGACTGGATGACTATTTACAGTATGTACAATATACAGTATGTGCAGTGTGTAGGATTTATATTGAAATATCAATATTGCAATTTATATCTACAAGAAACGCTGCAGTCAATTTGTAATTGCTGAGTTGGTAAATACAATTAAATGTAGAAAAACAACTTTGCCGGGCTCGTTAACCAGGCGACCTGGCCTGCCACACGTGTACAAGCCCAGTGGGAAGTGTGCTTACACGACGGCTATCTTTTCTTCTTAATTGTAGCTCACCTAACTTATGCTGCGTGTGGGTGAAACTTTGTGAAAGATCAACATCATACTGGTCAGAGCTTCCCACTCTGCACTGTCGCTGCCAGGAATAACATGTGGGTGTCTTTGGTTTTTTGATTTGTATTCTTTCCAACACTGTCTCCAGTGATGTCCGTTATATGTTAAGAGGAAGATATGTGTTTGGATTAGGGGTTTAGTTGAAGCAGTGCATGTTTTTTTTAAACACCTCCTGGATTTAGAGAGTGTAATTATGTTTTTTATGGTTTAACTGGAAACTGACAATCCAATCTGGTGGTGTTCACTCACTGACATAAGAGATAAGATAGATCTTTATTAATTCTCAAGGAAATTCTTCAGAGTTTCATTGAAGATTACAAGAGAAGAACAGCTAAACAAAAACAATAGAATATAAACATACATAAATATATATAGAACAATTATTAAGTGTATAGTAATGAATACCGACGCCATTGCAAAATAGAACATAATAAGAGTACGGTAAATAAATAAAGTAAAAAATTCAAATAAAATACAAAAAGTAAAATGCAACAACAAAGACTAAATACAAGCGTAACAATATAAAGTGTATAAGAAGTGACTTTAACACCAGTGGCTGATGGAAACTAAAATAGAAAAGTAATATTGAGCACGATATTGAGAGAGACAGTCAATGATATTGTTGAAAGAAGTAGAAGAAAGTTATATTGCACATTAAATTTAAATGTAATATTGCACATGATAAGGTTATTACTGCAGAAAGTCATGCATAGTTGTCAGGGTCAATACACACAGTATTTAATCAATGCATTAATTAAATACCTTATATGACACAGTGCATCTCTGAGCAAGTTCCTCAATGTCAGATGAGACCACGTCCTCCACTGTGAAAACAAGACACCATGTTTGTTATTGTTGTTTTTAATTAAGACGGAAGCCTCTCCTCAACACACACAACTCACCTGTTGTAATACCAGCAGCACGCAGGTCACGGACTAAATCCTCATCCAGTCCAGGACACATTCCTTCTCTTAAGACGACCATGTTGTTGCATTTTTTCAACTGCTGGTTCACGTGAAAACTTTAAATATTTGCGCTTAAAGAAGAAGGCGGAAGTGAGGTAGCTAGCTAGCTTTACGAGCTGCTGCTAGCTACAGTTGTTTTTAGCTTTGCTGCTAACGTAGAATTGACGATATAACCAACTTGTTCTGCCTGCGTGGCCGCTGAAGACAGTAATAAATGGCTTTCCCGAAAGTTACCGATGTTAAAAAACCCTTACCGTATTTACTTTTGACAGACTGACGCTTTTACCAAACTTTTTCGACTTGCTTTAACGTTACATCAATATGCGAAGGCTTCAACTTCCTCCTCCTGCTTGCCGTAGTAAAGTGCTCTCGCAATGCATTTGGGGTAGTGTAGTAAGTATACTTCTCCAAAGTTTGTGTTAATATACAGATATACATATATACAGAATATAAAGAAAATCAACGAAGGAAAAAAAACACAGATTCAAACCAACATAGAACATACGACACATGCAACATACAATTAAATAACATGTAACACAAACAAGTGTCATTGTCTATGACTTGTTCAGTTCATCTAACTCTAACTAAGAAATGTTTCTATGGAGGTGCATATTAACTCCCATGTGTCGAATCATTCAGTCTGTTCTTTGTTTCACACCCAGACGTGTGAAAGGGTTTTTTTTCGCTCTCATAGACTCCCTGAAATAGATGTTGGTCCTTCAGTGCGTTATTGGCATTCCAGTCATCAATAAAAAGGATTTTTGGGTTCACATTGTCCCCGCTGCAGGAATCAGTATTGGAAGTGTGGAAGTGGTAATGGCACTTTGGATGCCGAGGACACTTATCTGAAGAGAGACTTCTCACTGGACCCTGATACACACTGATCCTCACCAGCTCAAACCCTCATTGACTTTGGTTCAGATTGTCACTCTTCCAGTACTCTCTGGTTCAACTCATGACCAATCTCTATTTGTAGTTCTTCTGTCAGCAGTGTCCCTTGAGCAAGACACTGAATCCTAGCCATCTATTTTTACTTTTTACTTATAATCTCCTTTTATTGTTTTAATGTCCTATTCGCAGATGGCTGCATTGCTTCTTCTGTTAAAGCGCTTTTAAATGTAATACGATTCCTGCTTTATAAATAGCGTCAGATTGATTTGATTAGATCCCCTGTGAGAGAAGGGGATACAAGAGAAAATATCTCAGGGATCAATAAAGAGTCCTGTGAACCATTAATATGCGAATATAATTCAATCCAAATGAATCAAATTAGAGTTTTGGATAAAGAGCTGATATCGAGTTAATCATTTCACGCCGTCTGCATGTATGAATACAGAGGTTGTACTTTGGTTTAGTGGAGTTTTGAATAAAATAAGCTCTGTACTCTCCATTATTGAAGGCTTATTTTGAAAAGTTATTTCTGCTTCCAGAATAGTCTCACGAGTACGTCGCCCTACCGAAGGCAGAGTGAAGACCCTCCACCTTACACACAATACGATGGAATATAATACTGTGAATAGTGTGCATGTTAAGGTTTACAGCAAAACATTCAATGAAGGCAGCATTTGAGTCAACCTCCAGTTCTGAAACGTGAAGCCAATGTTGAAGTTGCTTAAAGCTGCATTCTCTCTAATGTCCATCAGGGGGCGACTCCCTGATGGTGTGCTTTAGGGCGGGGCTACCTTGTGATTGACAGGTGTACCACAGCGTCAATCCTCCACAGTCCAAATATTGTCAATTCCGTTCACTGGTTGCAAAAAAAACAAGTTGGTGACTGCCAAAATTCAAGATGGCGATGACTAAAACGCTGAACCCGAGGCTTCAAAACGTCAGTCCAAAGACCAATGTGTGAAGTCACGACGACCACGTCCACTTTTATACAGTCTGTGCTTGAAACAGTAATCCCTGCATTGATATCTCCAACATGCGTTTGACACTTTATACACTTTATGCTGATCGTGTGTGCATATTACATAATATAACTTCCATGTAATTAAACATATGAAACAAGATGGTAGAAAAACACAGGATCACAATTTGTGCTTTGTTGCAAACAAAAAAGCTTTGCAGCTGTTCAGTGCTTTGGACATCGTTTTGGATCATTCTTGTGACAGACTATGGATGACGGCTGACAGTACGTATGGCATGTTCAGATCTTGCACTACCTTGTTATTTGCAAGTGCCTTCATCATTTGTAAGAATAACTTTGTCAAAAACAAATAAATAAGCTGTAGTAGCCTAAAGGTTCCCCTGACAGACGCGCAAAGAGGCAACCCAACTACAACTCAGCTCACCCAACCAAGGCATGAGCTGTAGCGCTCATGTTCCTGAAGATAACAGGCCAAGTTACCAACTTGCCTGTCACCGCACAAATACAAAAACCTGTTCACCACATCCCTCCTTGTATTACCCACTTGCTTACCCTATGAACCATGAATACCTACTGCACACTGTGCAGCAGCAGTCTTCAGGCTCCACCTGCAAGGTAACTGGGTCCAATACCCAGACACCCAACAGTCTGTGCAATGCTCTTGTTACAGAGTCCAGAACATGACCATGATCACCAGAATACAAAACCAGAAACCAAAACATGCAGTTATTAGGAAACACCAGAAACTAGTTTGCCTCAATAAAACCAGGAACAGAATTTAACACCACAGCAAGAGCAGCCCATACACAGCTAACATCACTGCCTCCATGTCCCTCTGACTGTCTAACCAGAGACTAACTAAACTCCCCCCTAGTCTTCAGGTACTACTTGTGGTGGGTACTTATGCACTAAAACCCGCAGGCCCGGCAAAGCAACCAGGAACTGGCCACCCACCTGCAGCCTCGGACGTGCCCCCGAGACAACTGCTCTAACCACTTTCACACCACACTACAGAAACCCCCCAACGACCTCCAAAGGGAGTCCGCTCTTCAGCCTAACAGGGACAGAACAGCAGCAATTTACTCAGTGTATACAGGACCACCTAAACTCTGTTCCGCAAAAATCACCAGCATAACACATGCTCAGTGCACAAACACTCCTCAGGCACACTGTTCACTACAGCTGCTACAATAACCAAACACAGGAAAACAGCCGACTCACTAAACTCATCCATGTCTCCCAAACAACCAGATTGCACATCTCACTCACCCAAAACGAGGTGCACCTGCCTACCATGCTAGAGCTGCTACTGATATTCAATCAATGCGGACACCGGGTAAATCAGAAATGGACGAGCCCCTATATGTCACGACCTGGCTCAAAAGGCCACAACATGAGGGAGACAAGACGAGTTATAAAAGTAATAAATAGACATTTATTTAATGAACCAACTAACAGACCTAAACCAAACAAACAAACAAACAAACAAACAAACAGCCAGGTCCTCCAAACAGGAGGCAGAGAGGGGATGTGCCGAGAAGGACCAGCCATAGAAGAGGGGCAGCCTTTATAGCTGGGACCAACCCAACTCAGGTGTTCATCAGTGGCCGATTAACATCCTGGAAGACAACCTGAGAGGAAACAGACACAGACCCCTGGTGGAAGGGAGGGGTCGTCACACTTACTACTTACTTACTACTTACTTACTTACTACTTACTCACTTACTTACTTACTTACTTACTACTTACTTACTTACTACTTACTCACTTACTTACTTACTTACTTACTACTTACTTACTACTTACTTACTTACTTACTACTTACTTACTACTTACTTACTTACTACTTACTCACTTACTTACTTACTTACTACTTACTTACTTACTTACCTACTTACTACTTACTTACTACTGACTTACTTACTTACTTACTTACTTACTACTTACTTACTACTTACTTACTTACTTACTACTTACTTACTACTTACTTACTTACTTACTACTTACTCACTTACTTACTTACTTACTAACTTACTTACTTACTTCTTACTAACTTACTACTTACTTACTTACTTACTTACTTACTTACTTACTTACTTACTAACTTACTTACTTACTTCTTACTAACTTACTTACTTACTTACTTACTTACTTACTTACTTACTTCTTACTAACTTACTTACTTACTTACTAACTTACTACTTACTTACTTACTTACTTACTTCTTACTTACTTACTTACTTACTTACTACTTAATAACTTACTTACTTACTTACTAACTTACTTACTTACTTACTTACTTACTTACTTACTACTTACTTACTTACTAAGTTACTAACTTACCCATTATGGTGTTCTTAAAAACCTATCCTATATCCTAAACGTTTCACTTTGTAAAGTGCAGGAGAAACACAAGGGATCAGGTTTTAAAAGTTCAAGTTTTGAAGAGCCACAGGTCACAGATTGTTAATTTCTTACTTGTGTAGCAGGAAGCAGTGGTTATGGTGAGATGGAGATCTGTGGGAGATGCAATCATGGATCATTAAATTGTACATCAGTATATGTAAAATTACCATATATAACAAAAAAGGATTCACAAAAAGGATTGCTATGTTAAGACTTGAAAACATGCTGTACAATCTGCTTCACCCTAAAACAACCAGAAAAGAACCTGAGTGGGTGAAGCACGGAAGTGCATGAAAAAAAAGGTTCAGATGAATCATCCCTCTCACCCTGTTTTCAGCCAGCTGAATATGAACATACGGTCAAATCACGTCTGTTGACCTGGCCATTAGCAGAGTAAAAGGTTTTTATGTCGGCTGTTTCGTGAAGTCCATTTTCCTGGTATGACTGTGCAACTCGTTCTCTCACAAAATGACATTCCCACACTGCATTCAAATAGATAACGGTTACTGTTTTAGATTCAAACACATGATTCACATTCTAGACTGAAACAAAACACAACAGAAAAGCTACAAAACTACTTGGTTAGGTTAAGAAACACATCTTAGTTCGGCTTTAAATTACTGTGAAATTGAAACAAAACAAAAAAGCAAGAAAAGTACTTGGTACGGTTTGGACAACAGAACCACCGCTTGGTTATGTTGTGACTGATCACCTTTAAAGAACTTCATGGTTCAGCCCCGAGCCACATTGCTGACTTTCTGCTCCCCTGTGAGGACGCAGCCTAAGGCGACATCATTAAATAATCTTTTAAATTGTTTCTCAAAGCGTATCTTTTTTTTAAACACCGTCGTGATGCTATGATGCCCAGCCACAAATTCTGTCCATCTCCGTCTATACAGCGCTCAAACATTGTTCCAGATTAGTCTACGCCAAGTTTAAAAGTGAGACTGAATTAGTAACAGATATTATTACATTTTCACCGACCTCTATGCTACTTTCTACTCTTTACTTACCCTGTTTTCCGCCATTTTCGTGAAGTCCAACCTGTCTAGCCATTAAAAAAACAACAGAAAGTCTATTGTCTACTGGCAATGGGAAAGGAGTCTATCGTTTGT